TAAGCTCATAATATGGCTACTGGGTGTTGAATAAAACAATATCAGAATACAAAAGCTAAGGTTAACATCTTTAGTATTTGATATATCAATACAAATAATTGTAATGCTGACATTTCATTTTAAGTCAAACCCTCCTCTGTCTGCAAAGTTACATGTTCTTTGCTATCAATATATCTGCAAAATTGCTATCAAGGAGCTGGCAGCTTATCTATAAAACTTGCTGTGAAGGATTTTCCTGGTTTCTACTGAAAATGGGCTTTGATCACTTTGCTGCATATAAAGCTTAAAAGAGGGTACTTTTAAAAGACAATGCAACGTACAAAATACTCACTATACTTCCTCTCTGGAACATGAAGCATCTAAGGGATTCAGCCAAATGCTCCCTAAAGAAGACAAATCTCAAAAAAGTTTCTTAAAAAAAAAATAAAATTAAAAAATAAAAAAAGTTTCTTCCTTTTTCTGACCAGATTGCCTTTAAATTACACTGCAAAACCCTTCTGAAAGGTTGTTCTTGGAAAGCAGAAAAAATGATGATCAAACCTGCCATAAGGCAGATGATTATCAAGAACTTTAATGGATTTGAGCGCTGGGCTACAGCAGAGCTACAAAAGAATCCTTTGACCTCAGTGTGTGTTTTTGTTCTGGCACAAAGCACCAAAGTCTACAGTGCACTTTTAATGTTGCTTTAATAGTGTGCAAGCCCAACCTTCTACCAAGCTAGAGACTTTCAAAACCCTTTTAAGTCTCTGAAGACATTTGCTCTGTATTATCTACAAGTTTCCCATTTAACACTGGATGAATCCATTTAGAGCAACTGACCTGGACCTCTAATGAAAATTTGACAAATATTAGTTCCAAGTCCTTCAAAGTTTCAAGAATTGGCTACATTTATCTTCATAATCTTTCCCCAGCTCTGAATTTCAGTTGGAATTCTCCAAACAAACAACAGGGGTCAATGCACAGTCAGATAATTTGTTTCCAGGAACTGTGAATCTTTCTGCTGTGGATTCTAACCCCAGCCTGCCTCAGGGATTTAACATAACTTCAGTAGGAAGTGCCTTGTGCTTCCAGTGGAGCAGGCAGTACCAATAACACCCAGATGGATTTTGGATTGCTACAACCAATTCTCCTGTTATCGAGTATTTGCTCTCTAGAGAACCCACAAGAAACTTCAGGTCTATTCAGATTGTTAAAATCTATTTTATCTTACCAGTGATTTTATTTTGATTAAAAAAATCTACTTGCAGTGCTGCCCCTGATATCCAAACTCAACAGGCTTTTATTATACAATGAATCTGGCCTTTTAGCTCAAATCAGTGACACATTAAATATAACATTTGAAACCAGAAGCTTTCCGGTTCAATAAAACAATTCCTTCAGATGAACTGCCCATGCTCCCACTGAATTTCAGTGCTTTAGACCAGAAGAGTTTTATTCACTTATGTTGCTAAGGATGAAATGCCTGTTGGAAACCCACAATGGTAAATAAACACATTCACACATTGAAATATCTGTGACAAAAAAAGAAACCTCTTTCTTTTTACTGAAACCTGAGTGTAAATTTAAGAACAGACTTGAAACTTTCTCAGACACTTCTCATCAGCCTAAATAAGCTGAGGCTGTGTTCTGTGTGAAGTTTGAGAATATCATTAGCAAAAAGCTTATTCCATGCTGACTTGCTCTTCCAGCAAAATTTCACCCATTTGGGCTAACAGAAATGGAAACTGGACCCAGAAAAATTATTATCGTGCAACTTTCAAACTGGGGTTTGATAAATCACCAAAGTGCTGCTGTCTGAGAAAATGGCACATTCAGTCTTTCCCTTCAGCCTCAGCAGAGGTTCATAACAACACTGAAGAATGATATGATTAATTACAACTAAATTTCCTGTTCATTACAGATACATTCCCAAAAAGAAAACAGCCTGTTAATTTTTGTATACTCAAAAATACTGTTGCTGCATACCCTGGTATTCCCATATGAAGCTGTCTGCAAGAACGAATTCTTCAGCAATTAGCATTTGTTTGCATGTGCCATGGATTTTTAACTTTTCCCTTGAAGCTGTTTATCAATGAAAATTCTGAATGCATTTTAATTAATACAATCACACTTTTCCAGGAATAGCTGCTAATTTGAAACAGCAGTTGAAATGTGAAATATTGAACTTTTTAAGAAATGCTTTGTTCCTCTCAAGATGTCTAATTATTACATTCTGTATGCAAAGGTGTCATCTGTAACTGTCTTGTAAGTTTTTGGGTCATTGTGACAATGGGGAAATTCAAGACAAATAATGACACTTCTACTCCCTTGGGAGGAACAGAATTTTTTTTCTTTGTAAAATGAAGGTGCTTTTTTTAATCTTTACATGGGAACAATACTGTCAGGAGCTTGACACATCATCTGTGCATTCAATAAAGGAATTTTAGTTATAGGAACACTTGAAGACCCTGCTGTACCTGTCTGAGCTGGGGAGTTTGCCATGACATGAAGAGGAAGTCAACCTTTTCATCATGTACATTTTCTCTTAGGTACTTTAGCATTTTCCACTTCATCCCTCTTCCAAAACACAACTTCTTTATTGCAAAGGGCTTGAGGGAAGAGATGAGGATGACTGGACTTCAAAGGGATACTCAGGGGTACTCAGGTCTGCTGTCTGTGGGAAGCATCTCTGCTTCCTCTCTGACACCACAGCAAAGGCATCAGGGGTGTAACACGTTTTAAAAAAACTTTCAAAATAGTTTAAATATATTTTGAAGAACAATATAGCACAGTATAATGACTGCTTCATATGGAAATGATCCCGTGTTCCTGAGATATAAGTATATGAGGAGGGAAATTGTATGTAACTGGGCACTCTTTCTTTCCTTCAACTGAGCAAATCTGAAGAGCCAGCAAAATACTTCAATTGGTTTAGATCAGCAACTGACAATTAAAAACCTAGCAACTGGTATTTTTCACGTTTTTTGATTCATACCCAGGAGTATCTCTCTGTTAGAACGTGATGAACCAGAATTGTCTCTCATGACACCTACCTAGAGGACTGTTATTAGTACCTTGTTTGCTGGTTAACTGGGCAGGACTGCTGTCAGTTTAGTTATTTTAGTGACAGCTACAGAAACACACGCTTTTCCTGCTGCATAAAAAACATTTTCCCTGCTAAATGATAGCTTTCCTACCATACATTCAGCTCTAAGTCTGTTTTCATAAAACCCAGTAGAATAAATGCATTAAAATACAGAAAAAAAAAACCCAAAAAACCACAGCAAACTTTGTTTTCTGGGGAAACAAGGGGAAAGGGCCTTTAGCTGATGGAGAGTGGATTCAGGAATTAGTAAGAAATTGTTTATTTGTAAGGGTGGTGAGGCCATGGAACAGGTTAGTGAGAGAAGCTGTGGCTGCATAGAGTTTCAGCAGGGAAAAAAAATCAGTATCTTTCTATGAAAACTTTTGTATCAGAAAAATGCCAGAACCTCTATCAAGGAATTTTAAAAGCATGTGACAACCTGCTCCATAACCACTATGTCCTGACAGAGACTCGGATTTGGTGCCTGTAGGAGGAGCAAAATATTAATTCTCTCAAAAGCCATCAGAATTATCTATTACAGGATGCAATAACAAATAAAATATCAAAATAAACAATATATATAGGCCTCAGCCACAACCACCAATTACACTGATGAACAACAAGGATACTCTGGAGTCTTTTTATGAAAAGGACTGCCAAAACTCTGCAAATATTTGTTTGGTGGTGGTTTTGGTTATTTTTTTTTTCTTTTTCGGTATAGATTGAAAAATTGAAACATTTCACATTATTCAAAGTAAAAGCTTTGAGAATTTTTGGTATGGAGGCAAAGTAATTATTTCAGAATGAGGAAAAATAATTTTGAACAATCTTAGGTGAGGTATTCTCTCCTGTTTCTAGTAACACAAAAGAAATCCTTTATGTACAGCATGAGAGGCATGAATTTCTGTTTGAGAATTTCTGCTAGTGTCTACCCACTGACAGAATGCCCTCAGAGTCTTGCACTGCACAAAGCTCTTGTTATTCAGCTGTTGTCATGGAGGCAGGTGATGGCTGAGCTCTCAGAGAGGGAAGAGTTTAGGGATCTTTCCTTCAGGTAACACAGCCAGAGTTTATTTGTCTGAATTTGGGACTGAAAGGGCTGTACAAGCAATGAAGCATGCAAACATTTTCCTACTGCCCCCAAAAGAAATGTGTTTTGACATGATACCTCTGCTTGGACTTGCTGGGTTGGCAGTACCAGTGAAATGAAAGAGATTCTGGCAAGAAAAAATGGAGTCAGATTTTAACTTTTTAATGAAATTTTTTATTGCAGCCTCTATCTGCAAAGGGAACTTGCTAAAGGTGAATTTTCCTTGTTCAGTCAGTTGTTTATATTGGTGACACTCTGCTCTAATACAAACCTCAGGTTTCTGTTTTGTCCTCCATTGCCTATTGGATATTTTTACATGTACTAAAATTAAAAATTAGTACGTGTCAGTCACGAGGCAGGGTGGAAGAGGTGCTACTTCTACAGCAAAGGCAACTTTATTATCAATAACAGCTTTAAGGTCTTTTGAACAGACACCTGTTTGCTGTTCCTTGTGGTTTAGTTTATCACAGCAATTATTCTGCTATTTAAATTTTATTCTGAACTTTACTAGTTCAAGGCCAGATGACAGAGCTACAGTATGTCAGTATTATTCCCACTGAAAGTGCCATGCACAACAGCCCTTATGTTAAGCCACTGTGTGTAACCCACTGTTCTTGGAGGCTGAAATGATCTTTCATAACCCAAGGCCCTCCAATCAAACATTGCATTGACCCACAATTGTAATGGTGTGTACTCATCTCATGCATTTTATGAAATCTGGCTATTTAGAAGCTAAATGAAGGCTAAAGCAGACATAAGGGGGCAAACAAACAAAATAATGAGAATTAAACATGTCTTTTTTGCAAGTGACAGCAACAAAATCCAGTGTAAAATATAATTTTGTACCTATCACATGACTCTGACATGTAGTCCTTGTCATGGTGTCCTCCTCTTCTTCTTGCAGGTTTTCTGTGACTACTTTAGCCTGTACACAGTGCAACAACAAAAGTGAAGAACATCTGTGACTCTGTTTATGTTGCTTCATGACAACTACAGAATGTTTTGCAGAAATAAATCAGAGTAAAGTTACATGGCAGCCAAGAGTGGAATATATAACCTGTCTTAGTCTATGAATGATATCTGATGATAACAACTTTAATTTCATTCAAAATCACAACATGCAACAATGAAAAATACCCTTGGAAGATGCACTTCTTCAAAATAAAAACTTAATATATGGTGTGGTGTCTCTAGCTCAGTTTGCAAACACTGAACTTTGGTGTTTTTATTCCCAACTCTGTCTAAAAGCATTTATTATCTAGACAGAGAGAAAAAAATCATTTAAGAATGCAGTGCACTCTAAGAGCCTGTGTGTGGTATTCAAGTTTGTGTTATTCAAATCCCTGAGATATTATGGGTTTTTTTCAAGACGTATCCTTGCCCTGTCATTCTGCACTCCTATTTCCCAGGTGTACAGATAATCTGAGTCCCTCCCTAGCACAGTGAAATCTCCCTCCATCACGTGCCATCAGTGGCCACAATTCAGTTTCAAGGACATATTTTTATGCTCCATAAATCAAACAGGAATAAAGATACTTCCAGGGTGATGAGAGGAAGAAAGGCAGCACCACAGAAAAAATTGCTTTCAATATCTCAGGGATCTTAAATTATTTGCTAATCACTCTCTGCTGTTTTAAACTGCTTACAGCACGCTCACAGTAACAAGAGCACATTTTGTAATCTAAACCGCTGGAATTTATCATCATTTGCATGACATATCTTTGATCACAGTGTAAATCCTGCTTGCTCTGGATTACACAAGTAGTCCTGTTGACCTCTCATGAACAGCCTAAGTATAACACCAAAGACTTGCTCTCCAGATTTTTAAAAGTGCATTTATCATCTCTTAATCCCAGGGATTTGATTACATCTTTTCTTTCTTACTAAATGCCTCTCTCCAGGCTATGGAAATGAGGAGGGGAGTGTTCATTTGGCACCCAGTTCCAGGTGGAACAGTTTCTCACATTCGCACAGTGCGTGGCCAAGTGCTGCTGTGACATTTCACAATGTTAGGACAGATCCCTGGGTGCTCCCCAAACACACAGACTGAGCACACAGAGTGCCACACAAAACTCCTGGTGCCTTGGGTTTGGTGCCACACTTCCACCTCACAAAGTGAAACCCGTGGCTGTTCTAAATCACACAGGGCTGTAATAAAATCACAAAGATGAAATGAAGCAGTGCAGCACAAAAATGATTGTATCTCACCTTAAACTCCAGCCAAGGACATGAAAAAGTACTGGAGAACATGGAATATCCTTGGTGTAGGCTGAAGTGTTATGTATTTCTGCTGGCTGGCCTTTAGAGCAAAGTGCTTTTTTGATGAACACTAACGGGAAGTGTATCCCTCTGAAGGTGAATGCACAAGGCCACCACTGGTGGAACACTGCATTTTCCATAAATTCAGTGGCAGTCCAGCAATAACATTCTTTGCATGAACAGAAATCAGAGGTAATTGGTGCATATGTTATGGCGTAATAGTGCCTCAAGCTTTTACCTGGCACATCGTAAGAAAAGTGATTTAATCATCAAAAATTAAATAGCTTTTAAAGGAAAAAAATCTTGCTAGAAAATTAATGTTAGAAACTGTTCTGGCCAGGATTTAAAGCAGCAGTATATATCTGATAAGCAGTTTGGAAATACAGCAGCTTCTGCACTGAACTGTATGACTGAGTGCACTTTGCATTGTTCAGAAAAGAAAAGAAATCTTCCTGGCTTAGGGCTTTTAAAAAGATTTATGCTGTTTTCCCCAAAAGCATTAATTTTGTCTTTTTATGAGGGGAAAAAAGTGCACAACAGGCCATCCTACTGCATGTGACTGTTTTCAGGCACAGCTATCTCCCAGCCTTTTGCAATCTCCTTCAAAGTAAGCAGACACCAAAGAATAGCTGGGAATGATAGTAATAAGATTCATGAACTGCGAATTTAAAGACTTTGCATTGGTTTTCTTTTAGAAGTTTGGAGGACAAGACGAAATACCACATATTGAGGAATCTTAAGGTATATCTCTTTCATAAATTAGCATTAATAACTGTAAGCACATTTAAAATCTTGTTATTCTGGATATCATCAGTCTTTTGGCACTAGGTATTTCTTTTAGGAATTAAGTGTCACAGGAAACACAATATGAAACTCAAAAAAATGAAACATATAAATGTAACTTAATCTTCAAAAACCACACAAAAACACTGTTTCCCTGCTAACAAAAGAGTGTATGGCGTAGCAGAAGTAATGCCTTTTCACCATGAACAACATGTCCTTAAAAACTAAATAGTATAATTAGCATTTTTCCATTATTTATGTACATTAAGAACAACCTTTGTAGTTCCTTCACAAATTAAGTGTGTTTCTTTAAGATATACTTCAAAGACTATTATTGCAGCATTTAGAAAGACTTCACAAAATGACACACAAAAAGCACAGCAAATTATTGCAGCATTAGAAAATAATAAGTTAGAAAGAAATTGTAGAAGCAATGTGTCGAGTTTTTGTACTTCTGTACAGTGAAGAAAGCTGTCAGGACCATTTTAAATGTGGCATAGTTAAACTGAGTGGCTCTGATAAGGGGCTCTGCTCTGCTATCTAAGTTCTAGATCAGTTGGATTGAATTTCCTGCATATTGCACATTTCCAGACTTTCATTCTCTCTCTTTCCTTTCAGTGACACTACAAGGACAGCCTTAGATATGCTTATAATTTGTGGTTTTATAATGCAGGAGACATCTACATTTTCAAAGGAGAGATGATACCAGAGGAGTCAGGAGGAAAGTTTTCAAACACATTCATTTTGCATATGTTCCCTGTAAGGTTTTTAAAAAAAATGACCTTGCAGATGTTCTCAGCAAAGACGTCAGTATTAAAGTAAAAAAAAAGAAAAAAAAATTTCCTGAATTTGAAACTATGTCTGGAATGTCTTGAAACTATGTATGGAATGCCTTGACCTCAAGCATCCTCAACATCAGCCCTAAGCTAAGAGTTTTTTCGTTTCCCATTACAAAGCTTTTTGCAATGTTCCCAGAGAATGTGTATTTCAGATTCCCCCAGTTGTATGTGCTGCACTTCAGTAACTCAGTTCTATCAGAACAACAAAAGCAACAGCCTCAGCTTCAGAGTAAGTATTATATTTGGCACAAGTTTCCAGGCTGTTTGTTAAAATTGTGGTGATGGTTAATAATAATAATCATAATAATATGGACAAGGCAGCTATCTCAGGAATGAGGAAAGAATGCTATAGGGTTAAAGCATTTCACTTCTCCTTGTGCTGGACTTTAAAACATCATGGGGAAGGTCCTTGCTAGGCAAGACATTGCTCATTAAATTCTAAAGTTAATTAAAAGAAGCTTCACCAGGAAGGGCACCCCTTCAGCCTGACTTTAGGTTACAATCCTGGACTCCGTGGGAACGCTTCTCAATGCAGCAAAGTCAGTCCAGAACCAGACTCTAGCAGCTAACAGAAAACAGGGTAACTTTTCTTCTATGTTACAACATTCCTCCCCTCTGAGTAAATTAAATTATCAGGTACAGTTAGTACCTTATTAAAATATAAAACTAACTACAGGCCATTAACAGGGAGATTTTTAATGGCACAAAGTGAGATGCAGGTCCAATGTATGTTTTTTCTTTTGAACATTCCCTCTTAAGTGACAAATATTCCCAAATGTGGTCAAATGATTTGCCTTTTCCACAGCAGCAGTGTACTTTTTAGGCTTAATGACTTCTATAATGTTGAGAGGAATGTTCAATACTGGCATGCAATTTTAAGGGAAAGGGGAAAAAATAAAATAAAAAAATGGTCCTATCATTTCACTCTACTACAGTATGATTATAGCATCATTGTGCATGTATCTTCACAGGAATTGAATTGCCAGCAGAAACAGTAGAATCTTCATGACTATCTGTATAATGTGGCCTATAGCCAAGCTGCCAACTTTTGTATTAATTCACAATCCTCTAGCTACACAATATCCTTCTATCTTATATATAAACAGTTATTATCCTGTTTGCCTGCAATGGCAATAAGAAACACATCCAGAAGTTAAAAAGAAGGTAATAATGTTTTCATGTATTGAAGCACTTACCAGGGTCTGATTCTGCATTTCCATATCAGCTTTTGTGTTGCTGTTTTTCCTGTGGTTTCCTTGAGAGCTGATAGAGTTGCTGTGAAGAGAGGAGCCCTGGGAGCTGCCCTTCGACACACTCCTGTAGGAAACATTATTTGATCCACTTTCTGTCTGCTGAGCTACTTTCTTATCAACTCTGCAGGTAGAGAGTGATTCCTCTGATAAATTGCATTGCCCTTCTTCAATCACTCTACTTTCCCATTCCTTTAATGTTTAAAGTAACCTCTCTGTATCTTTCTGTCTCTAGACCTTTGAGTGATAAATGTTTCTAACTAGCCTTGATCAAACCTGTCACTTGCAATTTCAGGTAGTATATCAATTTAGCCTTTCACAGGTGATGATTTATATTATATTTGGGACTGCTGTGGGGCAAACGTGAAAACATAATATACCCATTGCTAAGTTCTTCTGTGACCAAAGGTTGTGAGAGCTGGAAAGGTAATTAATTCTGACAAGTTACCAAATATGTGTTTTCTGGTTACAGTACAGGAAGATGGAATACATTAAAACATGTACCTAATTACCCTCTATATTTACACACCATCTGCCTAGATTCTTGACTTCTGGAATAATTTGAATTATCAGCTTCGATGTAACTCGTCTATCTTTAATTTCAAAGACCAATGGTTTGGTTAAAGGAACATGAACAAAATTATCATCCCATTGTTAATGTTTGGTTTTTTTTTCCTGTAGAAATTAAAGTCCCAACTGTGAACCTACTGTTTGCTACTGTGCATTCTTAGCACGAAAATAACATGCACTAAACATCTGGGCATCTGTAAAGCTACATGGATATCAACACATCCCAAATTGTGTTCTGGAGTTTTACCTGTTTAAAAGCTCTCTCATGAAGCTGTCTTTTGGTGAGTAGGCAGCTGTGGTAGAACCTGTGACTTGTTCACACTCAATCTCACCAGGAGAGTCTTGGGAAGGCTTCACAATTTTGCTCTCCATGGCTAAAATGTCACCATTGTCAGCTTTCCTGTTGATTTGATTTTCTATTTCACAGTGGTGCTCAGTTTTCTTCTTTTCTTTTCTTCTCTCTAATTTTGCCTGCTTAATTCCAAATCCTGAAACTTTTGTATCCCTTTTTTCCACCTTAGTTTTAGGAACATCAGTCTTCCTGCTACTCAGTGCTGGGAGCTTACTCTTTCGGAAGCCAAACCAACTGGCTATAGAAGGCCCAGTCTTTTGCTTAGTCTCCACAGTGGGGGATTTGGTTTGTCCCTGACCCTTTTGCACATTTTCTTGAATGCATAACATGACTTTCTCCTCTATTGTAGGTTGCAGAGATGGTGAACTCAAAAGATCATTAACATTCTCAGAGGTTTCTGCTAATTTTAAAGACATTTGCTGTCTTCGTGACCTTGTTGCTTCCAGTTTATGAGGACACTTTACTCCATCAAAGCTTTGGAAGGACAAAATTTGTTTGGAAGATACAGTAGCTGAGGCTTCTAACTCCAGTTCTGCTGGCAGAACACTTTTTTTACCTAGAGCTTCATGCTTAAAGCTTTCGGTGCTTTTCTCACTCTGCACAGATAGACTGCGTGCCTCTTTCTGAGAAAATGGTTTGCTTCCATCACATTTTGAAGTGCTGTGAAACTGGTCTGCTTTTTGAGATGGTCTGAAGGGTAATTTGCTTGGGCTTCCATGCTGGCTATTGCAACTGCTCATATTTCCAAGAGAGCCTTGTCTAGGACAAGAATTTTCTGTGGATTTAGTAGTATGTAAAAGAGCCTCTGGTGCCACTGCTGTCCCGGGAGCAGCCTTGATCTGAAGCCCTTCCATGGCTGAGTTCTGCCTCGTTAGAGAATTCCCTCTGTCAGAAGTGTTTGTAATAATCTGAGTCCGTACTTTCCCGAGACCTTCAGTCACAGGGGCAGATGGCTTCTCCCCTGTGTGAACACTGAAACTCTGACTCCGAGCTTTCGCTCCGTTCATGCCCAGAGCTGGCTTCAAGTGCGACTTGTTGCCAGAAGAAACAGACCTCTTAACTAATTTGTTTTCTAATCCATCTCCTCTGTCTACCACCAAGTTGCAGCTTTCATGTGAATGAGCTGATGCCGTATCCATACTAAGTCCCACAGCACAATTATTTTTCACTTCAGAATCGGATCTGGAGTCCTTTAATTCCGCATCCGTTGCACCTTTGGCGCTTACGCACACCGACTCACTTTGCTTGTACTTACTGGAACTCCCATTACTTTTGGAAGCTGCATTTATACTGTCCTTTTCCTGCTTCCCTGGAACAGTAGAGCTCTTGCGGAGAAGCTGGGGAGATTTGACAAACAATTTCAGTCCTACAGGGAGACGGGTTTTCATTCCTCTCTCATTAGAGTTTTGAGAGGCGTGTGCAGCATCGCCGGCATGAAACAGCGTTGACGGGAGATTGTTTACCTGAGATAGCAGAGGCTCACTTGTGCTCGTCGTGTGACACTGAGGAGTTGTGGGGAGAATGTTTGGCATCTTTTGTAGCTGATCCAGCCCACTGTCACTGGAAATATTGTTTTTGCTGGAATAGGTGTCTTGTGAAGGAGTTGTTTCCAGTGATGGACAGCCTAGTGAAAAGGACCTGGCTGTTTGAAAATCTGTGCTGGAATACTCACGATTCCTATGGAGACCCACCTGATTAGGATTTTTTGGGCAGGCTTGCTTTGTGGAAACTTTGGAAAGTCCTTGGCATGCACTGTGGGATTGCTGAGATGTGCATTTATTTTGCATAATTCCTTCTGCATTTTCTTGAAGGTAAGATAATTCAATTTTGGCCCCAGAAGATACATTTTTTGCTTGCATTTCATGACTAGATTGATTATGAAAACCAGAGTTCACAGTTCCTTTTAATGGAGATGATTTCAGTGCATTTTTTGCTGTTTCAGTGGGACCAGCTCCTCCTAACTTTACTGCTCGAGGTGGAGAATTAGCATAATTAGGCCGAATCAACAGGGATGTTGTCCTGCCTGGAGGAAGGGGTGGGGATGGAGACCGGGCTTCCACAGTAGCTAAATCACAATGAAAGTCTCTGGTTGGAGGTTCCCCATAGCTACTGGGCTCTATAAGGTGCTGAGGCAACAATGGTGATGCTGGACTCTGACTCTTTGGATGCTTTGACCCATCTCCTCTGCCAGGACGTTTCAAGTCAGGCAGGGCATGGGCAGGGGGCTTTGGAACCTGAAACTCGACTTTTGAATCAAAATGACGAGGTGGGCTTTGAGCCTTTTTGAATCTTGAAAGCTTTACAGGTGGCAGAGCAGGTGATTTCTCAAGGGCTGTAGGGCCCACTGACAGAGCTCCAGGTGCCTCCCCACTCTCAGTCATCAGAGTTTTCTGGGGAGAAAATTTACCTCTGCTGGGTATTTTAGTTACATGTGGCTTTTGATTGATTCCTGCATGCACAGTGGAGCTTGAATTGGCCTTGCATGATGCATCATACACTGGCTTCACTAGTTTCTGTCGTGAAGCATTTTGCTGTGTCACCCTTCCACAGCGTGAAAATTCACCACAGGTCAGGGGGACAGCTGTATTTTTATTCCCTGTATTATCTTCAAGAGTATTTTTCCCAGTTTCATCTTCCTGTCTTTCTGAAGCAGTGTAGTTTCTAGCATTGGGTCCTGGCTGCAAATCAGTTCTTCCCTGAGGTATAAGTTCAGTGTATTCCGCACTGGACGTAGTTTGTGGCTGGTTGATTGAAATCTCATTTCTTGTTACAGTGACAACTCCAGTTTGATGTGAGCTGAATTCAATTGGCTCACCATCCTTAGCATCGTATATTACCGTAATGCACTCTTCAGAAGAGGTCTTCTTTATAACCTTTTGTTGTTTAATGAAATTACATGGCTTCGGCCTAATGTCTGGGTGAACAGGTATCTGGTTCTCTTCTTTGTCAGTAGATACAAACTGAGAATTCTCTGTGACTTTGAGCAAGTCAGAGGTCTTTGTGTACTTCTCAGGAAAGGGAGTGGCTAATAAATCTGAGGGACTTTTCTCATCGCTGCTTTCTATATGCAATTCATCCAAGACTTCATTGTCATCAGTGTCTGAAAGCTGAATATTAAAGTCCTTCCAGCCCATATTAGAATGGCTTTGATTTAACTGTAACTCAGGCAGCTTTGCTCTGGTGCATGATTTTACTTCTGCCTGAAAGCCACTGACAAAACTAGTCAATTTCTCAGGTCTTTCCTTTGAATTAAAAAATGAACTTCTTTCTGGCAAATGTTTCCTGTTAGGATCCCAGTCAAAGAGACTGTCAGAAATGCTATGAGTTAATTTATTACAATAGGTCCTGCAGTCTTTGCTTGGAACTTCCTGCAGCAACAGTAAGGATGAAGAGTCATCATCTGCATCATCATGGGAATCTGAATCATAAGAGAAAGTTTTGTTGTGTTCAATGCAAACACTTCCCATTTCCACTGGCTTACAGTGAGTCTGTTCATTATGGCCGCCACACTTAATTCCAGGGGAATATATTCCTTCGTTGGAGTTCATGCAATCTTTGTAACCCCATTTTGATATTACTGAAGGTGATTCAAGTAGTATTTTTTGCTCCTGCAGTTTTTTGAGCCCTTCTAAGATATGGTTTTCCTTGATACGAGTGGGAGGTAGATCATCTGCAGGACTTGAGAGGTTGCTTGGGAGCGAAGAACCAATGCTTATTCTCTTATCCCATCTCACAGATGACTGTCAAAAGAAAATAAAAATCACTTGTGTTACTCACAAGTGCTGTCAATAAAAGTGTTACCATTTTGGTAAAGAGATAGAAGAGTTGCATAAGGGCATTCCATTCCATTCTTTTCTATTTAAAGCAAAGTTCTTTTTTAATACAGGATTTTACAGTGGTGTGAAGGCTGCAGTGCATTAAAAACCTGTAGGAAGAACAATGTGAATGGAAGGATTAAGATAAAGAAGAAGAGCAGTTTGGACTATGAAAGGAAGAATAAATGTCTGAACAAATGAGGAGACTGTAAGTAAGCTGGAGTGATAAAGGAATCACTAAAAAAATTAAATGGTGGGGTAACAGTTTAGTGACAGCTGCTTTCAATATAAAAGCGAGAGGAAAGTAAAAAAACTTCTGAAACAGGCAGCTTTTCAATTAATCTTGTTTCAGATTAACTTAAAGTAATACATGAAGAAAATTAATTTGATTTACCCTTTTGCTTGTCTTTCCATCATTCCAAGTGTAGGAGGAACCACTGGAATATTCACTGCAAGCACTTGAGAGGGAGAGTTCACTGCTACTGCAGCTGCTCCGAGGGTACAGGCGGCTAGAGCCTGTCATATTTAATTGACTCTGGCATTTCAAGACAGGTATGCTGGATTTCACATTCTGCTGGCATTCCTAAAATATGAGAAGAAATTGGAGTATCTTATGGGGAGAAAATGATCATTTAACTTCTCCTTGATTAAGAATGGCAAAGAAAAAGCAAGTAAGCCACTTACACCTTCCTCTCATGCAATTTAGCATCTGGTGAATTTAATACAGAGAAATAAATTTAAAATTGCTAACAATTTCGTTTGTCAGGGGAAAAAATCCACAATCCTCAGTGTTTACTCTCTTTGTTCTTGGACTAGTATAGTATTCTGCTCTTCTTATTGTAAAGATTATTCTGAGTCTATTTGAATTATGCTTCATACATAAGCAGCGTGCGCCGGTAAGATACAGAAAACAAAGTTATAAGAATACAAGTACATCTTGACAACTGCATTATAGCCCCACAATGTAACAGATGAGGCTGCACAGCCTGGACAAGGTAAATTAATTTAGTATCCTGAGCAGAATGTCCACTGAGAATGGAATCTCTCCATTACAGTCTAATTTTGGTTTCCTATCTAGTTCAAAGCTTTGTCTAAGAAACTCTCTGACGTAGGACAATCCATCTTCGTGTCGCTCGCAGACAGCTGAAGCCTCTTGCTTATGCAATTTATTGACACTTTATGGCTGCCTTTAGTACTTGTGTAGTTATCGCCCCTTTCCAAATGCAATTTCAGCTGACTGTGACTAAGTGCCAGCTTTGAGGAAGAGAGTAATGAAGAGTAGATAGCACTTTAGGTAAAATATTAAACCTCTGTAGGAGTAGCTAGGATGCCTTTAATTTGTTTTCAAACTAATATTCTTGAGCCTAACAGCGTTGAAGCTTCTTTAGTGTTAAGTGCTTGCACTATTCTCCAGTTTCCTTACAGAATCAGACATCATTTTAATTACCAGGAACACCAGACATGACTACATGAAAAGAGGTTGTAATGAGGTGGGGGTCAGTCTCTTCTCCCAAGCAGAAACTGATAGGACAAGAGGAAACAGCTTCAAGTTGTGCCAGGGGATGTTGAGATTGGATATTAGGAAAAATTCCTTCATTAAAAGAGTTGTCAAGCAATGGAGCAGAGAAGTGGTTGAGTCACCATCCCTGGAGGGATTTAAAAGCTGTCTAGATGTGGCACCTGGGGACATAGTTTAGTGTTGGTATTGATCTCAAGGGACCTTTCCACCCAGTGGTGGGTGAGAGGTTGGATTTGATGATCTTAAGTATAGGTCTTTTCCATCCAAAGTGAATCTATGATTCTGTGCCTTTGTTTCATAAAACTTCCCCTTGGATTTCATTAAGGCAAACTGAAACAATATTTATTGATTTTTGTATGTAGATACATTTAAAATTAATTTTGCTTAAATGAAGAATTTACACTTAGGAAGAAACAAGAAATCTAAAGTTATTGAATCCATTAAAAAATTATCAAGGCAGTGTGTGCCCTAGACCCAGCTTCTTCATGGAAATCTTTGGAACAACACTCAGTTTGTAGGCACTTCTCATGTACTGACATGTTTGTTGGCCTTCTGCTAATTTCTTCCATTTATTCCCCCATGTTCCTCCCATTTATTACTACTGGGGTTGAACCTTTTTTCAGCTGAATGGGAGAGAGCAGAACTTTTACTGCTGAGGAGTTCATCAGTACAGCTGTTCATCGCTCAGCTGACATCATAATGTTCAACTTTTGACAAACCTAACTACAGGGAAAATCATTATTCTTCGTCACAGGCAAAACCTATGAATGGGAAAATCATTTAGAGGTACCAAGAGCACATTTCACCTCTGGGAATTATTGGTACATGTTCTCCTTGGAAGCCAAATGGATGCAGGAGGAGCAGCCTTTAAATCCAGCGGCTCTGGGAAGAATACCTCTTTCAGCATCACAGGCAGGCTGATGCCTGTGTTTTTGGCTCTGAAGCGGATTTTGCTGTTTTGTTGAGACAAATGAGTCTTTATTTCTGACATTGCGGTTCCCCTGGGAGACCCCCTGCCATCAGCCTGCTCAGCTGTGGCAGTGTCACTCCTGGGGAGGGGGATTGCACAGAGGCCAAGGGCAGCAGCTGCTTGTTCTGGCTATTCCTCTGCATTTTGGCTCTGGCATTGGGAAAACACATCATGTGGAATTCTGCCCTTTATACTGGGCTGTGTCCCAGCCATCACAGCATTCAAGGGAAGGATGCCTGTAAATCATCTCCTGTAAGAATCTCCTGCAGGAGGAAAGAGATCACAGCACAGAGACAAGTATTGCCTTCCTGTCATCTTCAGCTTGTCTGAAAGCCTCTCCAACCTCTCACTTTGTTTCCTTTGCACCTAAGAGAGGAGAAAGGCATTTGGTCCTACTGTTACAGCAATGGGAAAAAATGGAGCTATCCAAGCAAAGCAAAAGAAGAGTATATTACTGCAATCATCTTTAAGAGAGGAGAAAATGTGCAAAAAATATCATGTCACTCCAGATTATGAAGTAGGGTATCTACTCAATTTCTAGATAGCATTCAGATCACTTAAGAGAGTGGAGTTTTCCCCTTCAATTTGCCTTTATTCTCTAAATTATTCAAGAAAGTACTTTGAATAGCATGTTTATGATGCATTAATTAAATACATTTAACTTGCATATGGGTCTATTAACTGACATGGTAAAATTTTAATTTTTGTAATCATGACTTTTTAGTCATTACCTTTAATGAAATTAGAGTAAAAAGGCTTGAATGTAATATTACAGTTTAAAAATGTAATTTTCACTAGAAATCAAAGAAAATTGAAATAATCAGACCATAAAAGACACAAAACTCTATATTAGAGCAACTTAACCTCAAGGCTTAATTCAATATAATGCAAAATGTTGTTAGCATTTTTGTGAACCTTTGAAACAATGCCTTTTCATTAAAGTATGTATTACAAGGGAGATTACATTTTTGTTGACACTCCTATACTTCAAGATCAAAGGCACAAGCAGGTTCAATGTTCTGTTCTTGTACTCTTTGTTTCCCTGTATATGATTTTTGTTTTTTAAGCTACTTTTCTCTTTGACAATGAAACATGAAAGCCACACTGTTGAACGTTTTGCCAAATAAGCACAAAGCTCATTCCATCTGAAAAAAAAAAAAAAAAAGCAGAGCCCATGAATTTTTAAAAGTTCATACATAATATATCATAAAAGTGGGATGAATAATACGGGGCACAGGCTTTAATAAAAAGCTCCTTGACCATTTCTCAGAGATTCTGAGATGTAATCAATACCCAAAAAGGTGTGTGTGGGACACTGCTAAGATTTACGCCTTTTTTGCACACAGTGACACTATCTGCTCACTATATCAACCGAGGACACAATATTGAATTTCAGAGAACAGAAGGAAGTAAAAGCATTGTTATCTGCCTCAACAGTGTTTCAATTCAGAGATCAGCTTTATGGCTCTTCCCTGACACCAGACTTCAGAGGAGAAAAGGAGGTTCCAGATGAGGGGAGCAAGGGCAGCACAAACACTTACGAGCATCTGAGCATCAGCACTTCGAGCTTGCACCAGGCTTCGGTTTCGTTCTACTTCTGAAAGCAAATCCCCAGATGAGAGGTCCAAGATGCGTGAATGGAGTTTCTGGGGGGGCAGAAGGGAAGGAGCAAAGCATGAGCATTTCTCAGATATTCAGCGGATCAGCATTTTTAAAATTCCAACCTCTGCTGTTAAATTTCAAGGGAAATGAAGAGCCTGAGGTAAAAGAGGATTTGTTCTAATTTGAAATGTTGCTCTTTTTGCTTACTTTGTCCAAGACTTCCTGTCTGGAGGACAGATCATCCTTCATCCAAAACAAACTCTACTTTTTCTTCTAGTCACTGCTTTGCAACTTATCATTACTTCACACACAACAATAACAAATGAACACGAGTCCCACCATTATCCACAGAGTTTGACAGGTTTCAGGAAAAAAAGCATAAAAATGAACTAAAAAATTAACATTTATAAATCAATCAACACGTTAATGTTGTTTTATTTACGAGCTGTTATACCTTGCGTGAATGATTGCAAAAGTGACCCTATTTTTAACCAGCATTGATCTGCTGAAGGCCTCTTCTGCACACATTTTAACTCAAAGTCATTAATGTCATCTGTTAGGAACAATTAATGTGAATAGAAAATAATTGCATCGGGGAACTGGGGACTCAGAGGATTTTGTGCATTAATATTCACATGCTGTTCGATTATATACACAGTTTTCTCAGTTTTGCTTGGAAGGATGGCTAAGCTTGTGCCTTTCCCTCCGTGTTCACCTGTACACTAATTCTAGGGCTTTCAATCTGCATTAAGTCTGGTTTGCTTTAATTGCAGTTTCAATAAAATCCATGATTTATGTGAATGCCTCAGCCAATGACTTAAAAAAAAAAATCTGCAGTCTTGTTAGTCCTGGGCCAGCACACCATGTAACAGGCAGTATGGATCTGACTCAGGCTCCATTGAAATCAATGCAAATGGACTAAAAAAAAAAAAACCCAAGAAATAAGGACTTTGGATCAGGTTCTTTTCACTTTCCCATTAATTCTCTAGGCTTGCAACCTAAGAGACCACATCTGCGCCCTCAGCCTGGAGGAACAAATGGGGCAGACCCTGGCAGGTGCTTTGCCAGAGGACTCTGTGAGGAATGCAAACCACAGAGATTTGTCGAGGCTGTGTGAGTGCCTCATCACCCTGTCCATCCAAAAAGACTGGCCAAAGAGGGAAAAAGAGTCTGTAGCCAGAAGAGCCTTCACACCGTGTAATAGTAGCTCTCTGCAGGGCCCTGAAATACAAGTCACACAGTATCTTACACCCAGCTACTCCCCAGCCTGCTCTCTGGGTACCCACTGCAGAAATTAATCTGCCAGAGAACAAAGCAGGCAGCCATTCCTACAGCCTCTGTTATCTGCATGCTCTGCTTCAGGCTTCTATTCCAGACAACCTAGGAAATTTAAAAAAAAAAATTCTAATTATGAATTTGGGAGTCATTTCTCAAGAGTTACTTATTCATCCAGGTTTTTTAAAGAGGTACTGTCATTGCAAAGAGGTTATGGAAAATATTTTCAGTGATCCATATTCTGTATAAATATGTGTTATCCAAAATATTGTTGAATAGATTAAATAAAATGCTGCAAGCACTCAGTATCCAAGATACTTTTCATTACAAATATTAACTACATCCAGGCTATGTGCTTTTAACATCAGTGGTGTCTGGTTATTCAGCATGCACCATTCAAAGTTCTACCACTGGTATTACTGTCAGGTGTTTGTTAAAGATTTAAACTCCAGGTAAAATGTCTGCCCAAAGTCACAGATTCACTGACTTTGTACATTTGTTCCTCTTGACAATAATTCCAACTGCATCGCTGAGCCACCAGAGAATCCCACTGTTTTCAGAACCAGAGTTACTAGTGCTAGGAACAAGTGGTTTGCAGACAAATTAATTACCTTCTCCAGGGAAACCAGTCACCTGAGATATTTTAGTGGAAGTTAGAATAGTCAGATCTGTGCTTTGGAGATGATGACTGGGGACAGCTGAGATGGATGAACATTTATAGGTGAAAATGTATCTTCCCAGAAAAAAAGAATCCTAGAAATAGTGCTAGAAATTGTAAAAGGAATTTTACAATTGTAATACTGTCTTCCCATTTTTCCACTTTCCCATTTTATTACTTAAATGGGAACATATAAACATTTCAATAAGGGAAACAAAATATTCCCCTACAACGTCATCCAATGAAATTTAGTGGTACTTACAGAATACAGAATCTGTGTCAGACATAAGAGCAGAGATCAGTCAGAACAGGCAGAAATCAGAAACAATTTTTGACCAGTGATCAATCACAGCCCAGCTGGAAACAGCTCAGGGTTCTGGGGGTCCCTCCCCAGTGGCTCAGTGGGCTGGGCTGCACAGGGGTCACACTGTGTTTGAGTCACCTTTGCCGCTGTTAAACTCTCTAAAACTGCAGTACCAAAGGCAAATCAGCACACTAAAATGATTAACAAAGAAGGAAAGTGTGTTCTCAAGATGTATAATGTGATTATATTTCTGTATCAAATGAGATCATCACATTGGGAATATTCCTCCCCACACATATGCAAATAAACTAACAGAGGTGGCCAGAACAATGACTAGCATTAACAAACAGCATAATAAAGTTTGAGGTCATTAATTAAATATAATCACACAGCACTGAAGCAAGTCATCCAATTACAAAAGAAAAGCATATGAAAAAATGTTTCTCTTTAATTTATTTTTCTTTTTCCTTCTCCATTGTCTAATTAAAGAATGGGGAAAACTCTAGCATTTGTTAGAAAAACTCATTAATGATGCATTTAAAATCAAGTAACAGATTGTGCTAACTATGTATCTTGATTCTGATTTCTTCTCAGATACACCAAATGTACTGTGTCCTTTATGGTTATTTTCAGATGACAGTCACATAACTAGATCAAGGAGTTACTGCTGCCTTGAAAATTGTACAGTATTAAAATCACTGTTGATGCTATCATGACACAATGCAACAAAAGGCAGGCCACTGCACAGAATGACTTCCATGGAAGAGATCACATCAGCTTAAATGAATACTTAACTACGAAACTCAGGAGTTGCAACTACAAATCCAAGCTATCTGCCCCATTTGTTGGTGCCCAATATAATGACAAAGGGAAAATGAGCAATACTTAGAGGTGATGGGGACTGCCTGGACCCCTCTGGAATCAGAAAAGCATCAGGATCACTGGGCTGCAGACCTGAAAATCCACATGGAGCTGAATACAGCATGGACTGGGCCAAGTTCCTTGGAAATTACCCTGTACTGAGTACTACAGGGCAGGTGTGGACTGAAAAGTTGGTTACATCTTAGTTTGACTGGACCCATGTCTCTCCAGAAAGGGGGTGCTGAGAGGCCAGGGCAGAACAGAGAGTTCTTCTCTGCAGGTGCCTGTGACCAACAGCAGCAAAACTCCTCCTTCACCCGAGAGATTGATGAAGAAAAGGCAGTGCCCTTTGCGGTTCAAGGCCAAGATTAACTCCTGTAACCCACATGAAAAATAAAAACAAAGTAATTTATAATTTAGGTGGAAACCTATTATATCAAGTGCAATAGGAAACACAATTATCTGGCAGGCAGATAACCAATCCATCAACCAGCAGCCCAGATCCCCTCCCCCAGCAGCATTCTTATTAAGACTTTCTAGGAAGATAAAAGAAAGCTACTACCTGCTGGCAGAAGGCAATATTACAGAGACTCCCCTACCCATTGTGCCTCTTGACTCTATCTCTGCAGAATATCTATCAGTTCCCATCTCCTTTTTAAACATCTAATGGTCTGCAGCATTGCCAGAACAATTTTCAATGAATTATGCCAAAGAGTACACAGCTCTCCAATATTGGATGAGTTAATTGCTAATAAATCAATTGGCTTTGCTTTTCTCACATGAGCCAAAGTCTATCATTCACAAAATTCTCTCTCTAGATACCAAGGAGACATTTTCATCCTGCTGCTCCGTGCCAGAGCTGTAAATGTTTGTTTGGTGTGTGTGGCCCTCTCCTGTCTTTGCTGTTTTTCAGGGCAGCACAAACCTGAACAGGCACATTCTGGCCTGCTTCCCTCTATAGCCCAGCCACTGAAATTGGGCTGGCAGGGAAAACCTTCTCATTTCCATTGCACCACAAAGGCAGTAGGCCATAGAAGGAAAAATATTATCAGGCAAAATATTGATGTATTATTCGTTTATGTAGAAGCATACTCTTTCATTAAACAAAATACTGATTTTTGTAGTCCTTAGATACATTTCAGAGGGGAGGTTCAGCTGGAGATGAGAACATCCTTCACCTATCCCACCAAAAGTTACCTAGAGTAGAATATGCACTGTTCAAAAAACAAAGTGTGAACTTCTTATCCACTAAATATTCCAGAATTAAGGAGAAAATTAAGTATAGTTAAGCAAAAAATATGATAAAATCTCCAAAAATAGAAATCAACTTTTCGTTTAGAGAAATAAGACTTTGGAAAATATATTCTTTTGACATATGGAAATTCTGCCTTCTAAAGAGAGTAGAACACATGGTTATCAACAAAAAGCAGCCAAATATGAAGCAAAAGTGAAAGCTGCAAGAAGATGCTTCCAGTTTTTTAATTCTAATAATCACCAATATAGGAAATATACTTGCAACTGAACACTGTGTACACACAGAAATGCCTGATGTGTTATTGCACATAATTGATATCACAAAACCAAAAGTATAATAATTATTTTCAGCTCTGGAAGTTATCTGTTTAATAGAAAATTCAGAATTATTTCCTACTATTCACTTCCTATAAGCAGAACTTCATGGCTAACACTGTTTAGTAAAGGAAAACCAGGTCTAGTGAATGGTATCCTTGTCCATGGCAGGGAGGTTGGAAACAGATGAGCTTTTAGGTCACTTCCAACACAAAGCAGTCCACAATTCTATGAAAATTATTCTTTCTCTTAATGTTGGGCCATGTTTAACCATTTACAGGATGGGGGCTAAAACTGGAGTGAAAAACTAACACCCTTTGACTGTTTAAAATGCAAAGCAATTAGATGTGCATCACTTTAGGTCTCTAAAAGCTATA